GAGTGTTGCAGCACTTACAACCTCAGTTCGGCCTACGCTTTGGATAGGGCTTTATCATTCCTTTTGTAGGAATTTCCACTGAGTGTTGCAGCACTTACAACCTCAATTCAACCTTCGTTGATTTCCCAAATTTAGTTAATTACCTCTCTCGAGCGAAATTAACCCTAATTGATTGATTAAATCTATTATATCTCTATGTCGATTAAAACCAAACAATCGCATTAAATATTTGTGAAAATAGCTCAATTGATTACCCAGCGTTAGTGGTATATCTCTATCAACTATACAAATCTAGGGTTTCTACTATTTGGTAAAAAATGTACAATTTTCTCTCGAACGACGTACAAATCACTAAATATAATCATTCATTGGCCATATAAATGAAAATGCAATAATAATAATAATAATAATAGTAGAAACACATGAAATAAGTGAATTAATATCAAAAAGCAAATATTAAAATTAATTAAGGTTATGTTAAATTCTACTATAAATCTCAGCGCAATAAATTAGCCCATATTATAAATATGATAGATAAGAGAATATTTATATCAATGCATTACAAATGATAGAAAATAAGAAAGAAAATACAAGATTAAAGATAAAACCCATTTTGGATGAATTTGCTTGAATCTTGATTCTCCAACTTCTTCTCCACATTTTCTTTGATTTATTCTCCTTATTGTGCTCTTGATTTTGCCCTCAAAGTACAAAGAAAAAGAAAAGAGAAAGAAGAGAGAAAGAAACTTAGGAAGGAAAGAAAGAAAGAAGAAGAGAAAAGAAAATGAAGGAAATGTCAAAATTGAAGAAAAAACTGCTGCTGCCATGTTACGTGTAGGGTTTTTAAATTTTAAAACTAAGTTTTCAAAATTTGCAGCCTTGGTTCCTGAGTTTAAAAAAAACAATTAAAACGGTCCTCAAATTAAAGTCAATCCTTTCCTTTTTTCATTTTGCTGTCAAGTCCTCCGGTTAATTGCACAATTGGTCCCTAAACTTTGATCTTGTACATTTTGGTCCTCAAATTTTGATTTTCATTTCGATTATGCCCTCCATAAATTGCATCCAAGATCCTTCAACTTTATGCTTAGTTCACTTTGGTCCCCAAATTCACAATTTTGCACACTTTTAGTCCTTTTCCCTCTCATTTTGTCTTTTTCTTTTTCATTAGGGTGATTTTTATCTATAAAAGCAATAATTACATGATTGTGAGTAGAAATTCGCTCATTTTTATTAATAATAAACATGTTTAACTATTAAATAAGTGTGCAAAAACACACTTATCAGGCTACATGGTTAAGCACAATTACATTGGGCTATCTAAATTGATAGGGGCGAACAAGTGATCTAATTATTGGGCTTTATAAATGTCTAAACGGTATGAGCTTTGCAATGTGTAGAGACTGGGCTCTAGTTCAATTAGGGTTGACAGAAACCTAATCGACTAGTATTTAAAGACGTAT